CATGAAACAGATCAGCAGCAACATGAAACAGATCAGCAGCAACATGATGTGATTTTTCTCAGTGATTATTCTGGTTAGAGATTCATGAGTCGAACAGCCTCAGGGTAGAAGCTGTTCCTCAGTCCTTAGTGTCGTGCCTTGTCTTTTGAGCTCAGAAATTTTTCCAGATTCTTCAAATCCTTTGATGTTATGTAAAGCAGCTGATCACATAATCACCTACTTTTACAATGATCATTAATCTAAAATGGTTCCACTACGTTGACAGTTTTTCTCTGACTGGTGAACCCCTGCCCATCTTTACTTTAGAGATTCAGCTTCTCTAAAAGGTTCATTTTGTACCCGACACTCTGACCTGTTGTCAGTTAATCTACGGTAAATTATTTCAAAATGCTCCTCCAGCTCTTTATTTGTTGTTTTAGTCTTTGGTCAGTCCCTGTCCTGATTTTTTCGATGGGTTGCAGTCATAATGTTCAAACCGCATTATTTTCCATAAAGCTGGTTGTAGTTTAAACGTGTTAAAATATAGTTTTATAGGCTTTGCAAACTGTTTAATTGTGTGTGTTTTATTTTTACATTTTAAACAAAATAAAATAAATAAAAACACGTTTGTCCTTGGGCAGGTGGCCGGTGAGAGATATGTCTACAAGTTCGTGTGCGACCCCGAGGCTTTGTTCTCCATGGCGTTCCCCGACAACCAGCGGCCGGTGCTGAAGACGGACATGGAGCGGCAGATCAACGAGGAGGACACGGTGCCGCTGTCGCACTTTGACGAGAACATGGCCTACGTGCAGGAGGGGCCCTACTGCCAACCGCACCCCTACAGCGAGGGCTACGTTTATTAACGCCAGCTCCACAAACACACACCTTCACTCTACCACACCGCCCCAACTCCTCCATACACCTGAGGCTGTCATGTCGCTCTGGGAAAAAGACTGGAAACACACACACGTCCTCTGTTTTGTCTCTCCGACGTCCAGAGAGTGCACTTTATGGACAGGAACAGCATGGTGGAAACCTGCCAGGGTGGGAGTGGTTGACTTTTTATCCTTGTTTATGTTTGTACAATAATGTGGAAATGATTATGTTTATTTTTTTCTTAAATATTGTTCTTATTTTGAGCATGTGCTGTCCCGCTGGCCTCGGTGGCTAACTCACGGCCACTAAAGGTTAAACTCCTAAAATCAAGATCTCCTGCAGAATAAACGTCTCGTCTTCACAGCCCGTCGGAAGATGAAGCTTTTCCTTTTCTTTTCACACAAACTGGAAAAGTAACGATTGTTTTTATGTCACCGAGGCATGATTAAAGACCCGGAGAAGAAATGTGACATTAGCCGTCTCGGTGAGGACGGCCCCGCCTCCAGCCTGACCCCGCCTCCAGCCTGACCCCGCCCAGGCAAACTGTGGGCCTCGTCTCGTAGCTGTTTTCACTGTAAACGCCACTGGATCTAAAAAATAAAAGACGTGCGGATCGGTGAGGACTTGCACTGGATTTGTACAGAGAAACACAGACTAGTTCCAGATCACGTGTGCACGTTGGTCAGGATAAGAACCTGAGACAGATGTTCATTTTTACAGTAACAGGTGACGTCTGTGTCCAGGTAACATCAGTTGGTCCTGGAAAACATTTTCATCTGCAAAACAGAAAAACTTCTTTTTGTTACCATAAACGTTTGTTTTTTTATTTTAAATTTTTTTCTGTCCCTGGTGAACAGGAGTCGCACATTTTGGTTAAAATAAAATAAAAAATGTCGCTGAGTCTTTTTTTATTTATTTATTTGGTAAAACAAAAAGAGGAACTATTAACAGATTTCAAATGTGGTGAATTTAAACAGAATCGTGTGACGTTCCTTTACGATATCGGATAAATGCGCATTCTGTTGCTGCTTCAAATTGTTCATGTAATTTTCTAGTCTCATAATAAAATAATATCTAAAAAAGAAGAGAAGAGAAAATGTCCGGCAGTTTTGAACCGTTATTCTTTATTATTTATTTCTTCAACAAATCGTGTGATCTGTCTGGATTGGACGTTTGGAGGCCGATGTGTGTGAGATGGGACTGGCAATAGAAACCTGCTGTAATAAAATAGTTAAAAAAATTAATTCATCTCCACTTTATGTTACGAATCATGACCTAAACAGTTGTTCTTTGTTTTGGCATTTGTATTTCTTCATAAAACGTGAATCCTCTTTGGCTGTGATTTTTATTGGCTGATCATTTGTTCTTTTAATATCTGCTTACATATGGACAGAACTGATGTGAGCGAGAGGACGAACTCTTTCTGGACTCTGGTTCATTTCCAGCTTGGGAGCGACGGCCTCAAACATTTAAGCCAAACGACACCTGAGGGGAAATCGATGCCTAATTTCAGACGGGCCTTTTTCATGGAGGTGAAATGTTTCAGTCTTTTGTTTGCGCTGGTCACCTGCAGTGAAAAAATCCTTCAAGTTATTATTTACTTTTAGAAAGTGTCACTATTGCTCAAGAATCAATGCCTAATTTAAGGAAGCATTGTTTAATTGCTTCCACTGATGGGAAAAATGAAAACGGATGTGTAAGTAATGAAAAAACACGACTTGCCTTAATTTGTGAGCAGGTTACAAGCAGAGCCCATTACAGTCCTTTCTCGTGCACGTATTGATCGATTGGCTAGTGGAGGGAATTGGCCTCAACTTTAAACAGCAGATTGCTTCCCTGAGGACGTTTAACAGCTTCTACTCTGACATCTGCAAAGCTGCAACCAGGGCAGCTTCGAATATGATGAATGAGAAGCTCGACACAAGATTTCTCTGTAACACGAGAATAAAACGAACAACAGGTGAGAAATGACACATTTCAACGGTTTACGTGTTGTGTCCGGAGATGTTGCTGCTAAAATGTACATTTAAATACTTTTATTAAGAAACAGCCGATTCTCAAAGGAAATGTTAAATTCTTCAAACCTTTGAGATAAAGTACTTTTGTTTCTTTTTCCCCTCAAATGGAAACTACTTCATATGAAGTATGGTGAAAGTGTGTGCGTGTTTGCCTGTTAGCAAAATATCATAAACCAGCAGCTGTATTCTCATGACACTCAGAACTTGCAGACGGTTAAAGTTTGGAGTCAACCTGATTCAAGATGGCCGCCGAAACAGACGGTCAGTTTTTCAGATTTCGAGCTGTGGTAGTAGCTGAGACTGATCACCATCACGTTCTGTGAAGGCTTACACATCGTGCACAGCTTTATTTAACACTTAGACGTGCAAAGTGCTGACCAATATGCTTTTCTTTAAATAATTATTATTAATTATTTTTTATAATAATTATCAGGTTTTTGGTTTGATGTTTGTTTTTGTCTCTTTTGTTGCAATTTAAACTTGAATTTGCCATTTTAGGTGATGTGCTTATGTGAAGCATCATATTACAGTATATATTTTTTATTTCAACAGAGGTTGATTTTTTTACTAACTTCAAATAATATGAAAACATAATATAATCATCTATTGTTTTGGTGAAGTAAAGTTCTGTCCTTAACGTTGTAAACATGGGCAAAAGAACCAGGTAGATTTAAAGCATATAGTTAATAAGGCCTTTGAAATTATATCATTAAAAATAACAGAGACAAGTGATTATCTGTGAAATCTGTGTCGAAAAGTCCAGTATCACAGTTTGTATCATATTTATTGTCCACCTCAACACATTTTAAACTTCACTCATCGTGCAGATTATTCCAAATATATTTTACTAACAGACAACGATAGCACACATTTAACAAACGTGTGCAGTGACTGTTTAAATTGAGCAGACAAATGATTTTTCTGCATGTTTTCAAGTACATTTCCCAGATATTCCTTATTAAACGAGGTTTAGTTGTTCGTGAGTCCGACTCCCGTCCGGTAAACGCCGCTCTTTATTCCGGGACTTGTCTCTGTTTGCCTCGGAGGCTGCTTGTGGTTTGACTTCTGTTGTTCAAATGAACTTCACGGTTACTGATGGGACACAAATGACGGTGGTTTATTCAAACTCCCGTCATTGAAATCTCATGCAAACGCCTCGGTGCTTTAAATATGTGGTGAGATTCCTCAGTGAGCCTGTGCAGCCCTTTCCACCTCCGTGCAGGGACGAGGCTGAAGGTCACTTGCAGGATTACTAGTCTTACACCTCTTAAAGGCATTCTGTTGCAGAGTCTGAAAATCACCATGCAAATCCTGTTATCTGGCCCCCGCTCAGGAAATCTGGGCCTCAGCTTTCAGCATGTTTACCATTTATGGACATATGCTTTACATCCTGTGCCACGTGCCAAATCCTTCCCTCCTCTGCTGCACGACCAGCTAATATTGTGCGTATGAGTGCTGTGATTTGTGGTCCTCCCCCACTGTAACAAACAGATGGCCACTCCATCTTGAGTCATCACAAACCCATTACGAGAGTGACTTGTCCTCAGCCAGGCCGCCTTGATTCGTGCCCGATGGTCCTCGCCAGTGTTTGCTCAGGCTCTTAAGTCATCCTCGGGCTTTGTGACACGCAGTGTTTGCTCGGGTTAAATGGGCTCGTGTTGCCCACGGCGCCCCCTGATTGGCTGTGACACCGCGGTGTTTGACAAGCGAAATGACACCGAGTGGCCCCCGTCGCAGCAAATGTGTTTGACTGTTCGAAACAAGTTGGCGTTTTAAGCAGCGTGTTTACACACCAGAAAGCCCTGAGTGTGTTTCTGTGTGTGTTGCCAGGGTCTATCCGAGGCCACACCAGTGAGCATAAATCATTCAGAGGTAATTCAGAGGAACAACACGGCTCCTAAAGAGGAAAAAGCAGGGAAATTATAAAACCTCTGTAATGGAGGGCCTATTACTGCTGCAGGTCCAGTCTGAGACCGCCTCACAAATGGTCCTTATCATCTGGAAGGCTCTATTTTGGGCAAATCTTTGTCTCGAGACAATTTGCAGGTGTAATAAAAAGACCTCCAGACACGTCCCGTTTTTCTTTAGAGGACTGAGAAATTATCTGCTGACGGTTTTCTCTTCCTCTTCTTGATGCGGATGCGGTTTGGGTTTGTTAGAGGGATTCTGTGATCTTTGGAGAGCTTCATCAGAGGTTCGTCTTGTTTCTCACCGTGCTGCATCGAAGAACACAAGAACGGCCCCCGCTCCCCCCAACACAAAGGCTGTGACAGTAATAAATAGCCTCTGTGATCCAGGTTTAGAAAGCCATGAAACTGGATATTGAGACGCTCTCCGGCGCTGCGGGTCGGGAGTAGTTTCAGACTAGACTGTGGGAATCGTCTAATCCGATCACCGGGAAGGTAAGACGGGCTAATCGCCTAACGGGCCAGGTCTGGTGGCCCCGCGGGGCTTCATGACCTCTTTAGTTTCACTGAGACTCAGAAACAGGTTTAAGGTTCGTGGATGTCTTTAAACACCTGACTAACTGCAACACAGCAGAAAACACAGAGATGTAACAGTCGACGAGGCTTTAAAATGTCATTGGATTGGTTCAAATGTGATAAAGCATGCATTAGTACAGGCACAAAGATATAAATAAAATATACATTTTATTCATTTATTAGTGAGATGCATCTAAAAATCATATCAGACTTCAACGTTTACAGTGAAGATCTGCTCTGAAATCTGGTTTTAAGTGAAGCAGACTCATATTATTTTATCTTCTAGTTTCAAAGACTTTACAACAAAAAAACCTCTCACAGTTTGAACAAACATCTGTTAAGTGCAAACTAATAAAACTGTTTTCTGGACTGATATAAACAAGAACGCAGCTTTGAGCAAAACAAAGTTGTTGTGCTGTGGTGGCGTCCTCTGATCTCTTCCGTATCACTGGTGTTGAATTTGGACCTTTTCTTTATTAAATCATCAAATGTTAAATCGATGCTGCCAGCAGCTCTTTGAGACAAACATTATGACGTGACTTCAGTACGGCTGCTGTGAAAAACAGTGTC